TGTCAAGTGTGCATTCCAGTTTCTGCCACGGATAGATGGAAATACTTACGTGGAGTAACTCAGTAAATAACCTCAAAGGTATGACGTTACTCTGAGATAATTCTAGGAGACCACCTCTTTGTCGTTAAAGAATTGCTAGGCTAGAATAAACCACGTATATATATTCATTCATCCATCCACCCATTCTAACAACAAATATTAAATGAGTACCAGGCTCTGAGCAGGCCTGGGGGATACGTTGATAAACAAAATAAATTTCTGCCCTCAGGGAGCTCACCTTCAAGTGAAGGAGACCCACAAACAAATGCACACTGTCATGGCAGGTAGTGCTGTTGCTGTGAAGAAAAATAACAGGCAGAGAGAGGGAGAGGGCTGGGAAGGCTTTGGGCCCGGTGATGTACAAGCACCTTGAATGAAGTCGGGGAGGAAGGCAGATTATCTGAGAGAAAAGTGTTACCAGGCATCGAAACAGCGAGGACACCACTGCTGAAAGAGGAAGGTGCCTGGAAGGTTCCAGAAGGAAAACCAAGTTCCCTGTGGCTGCAGTAATAAAGGAGAGAAGGACAGGAGAAGCCAGGGTCAGGCCTTGTAGCAAGTCATGGCAAGCATTAGGGGTTTTATTCTATGAGTGATGTAAAGCCAGAGGACGGTTTGAGCAAGGATAGGGGTAGAATTATCTATATTTTAAAAGAATTCCAGCAGCCATGCGCAGATTAGATTGAGAAGAGGTTAAACAGGGAGGAAGAGAGACAAGAGGCGATTGCTGTCATCCAGGTGCAGAGTAAACGGCTTGGTCTAGAGGGGTAGCCATGGAGGTGATGGGAGACGGCCATGTCTGGATACGTTTTGAAGGAATAGAGCCACAGGTTTGCTCCTAGATTGGATGGGGAAATAAGAAAGAGGAGTCCCAGATGACTGAGAGGTTTGGTCCCGTCAGCGGAGTGGGGAAGACAGAGGCTGTGGTGGGCGCCAGGACGGAGAGCAGGTGGTGGGCTGCCTTCAGTTCGAGGCATGATGAGTTCAGATGCCAGTTAGGGACCCAGGTGCGGATGTGGAGGGGGCAGCTGTGTGTGACTCACCTGGGCTCGGGGGTGGGGCTGAGTTTTGAGACAGTCCTGAGATTGGACGTATGTGAACACGGCCCTGAACCCTCGGGCCCTGATATGTTAGAGGCGTGTTCCTAAAATCCCTGCGTGGGGCTGATGAGGGTTAAAGGGAAAATCCCTGGGGGACTGAGGATGACGATTAGTCCATTGACAGACTGAGATGAGGCCTGTGAGGCACGTAGCTCAGGGACATTTTAATAATCATTGTCATGTGATTACAGTTGCAGTGTGAAGCTATTTTAGGTCACTTAGGATTCCAAATCGAAAATCTAGGAAGCTTAGGTGAGTCATTTCTCACTCTTTAGAGTAAATAAGAAAGACCTGATGTCATTCGCTGATTTCTCAGCCCTGCTCCAGACCCACCCACCAGGATCTAGGGGTGGCCAGGGCTTGGAGGTGTGCCAGGTGATTCTGATGGGCACAGCCTATGACACATCTATGACAGTTTGATGTGTGTGCAGAGGCGATTATAAAATCTCACTGTGATGAATAAGGGTGAAGGGCAGAAATGTCATCTTCTTCTTCTTTGATAGGACTTTTATAAAGTCACAGATTGGGAATCTCTTGTCACCTCTGCCTCTCCAGTCTGTTTCGCCCAGACTTATCCTAAAACATAAATCTGATCCCACCATCTGCGCCAATACCTTCAAAGGCCCCCACTGCACAAAGACCATCCCCAGTCCCTACCGAGATTTCCTGCGGCCTATGACTCTTGCCCAAACTCTCCACACTCGTCCCAGGAGCAGTGGTTCTCCACCGGGGACATTTTGCACCCCCAGGGACACCTGGATTGCCTTAAGACATTTTTGTTTGTTACCACTGGGAGAGGAGGGCTGCTACTGGCATCCAGCGGGTAGAGGCCGGAGATGATGCTGAACATCCTACATGCACAGGACAGCCCCACCACAGAGAGCCATCTGCTCCCAAAATGTCAGTAGTGCCCAAGGTTGAGGCCTCTGCTCTGTAGCCACACTGGTCTCCACTCAGGTCTTCACCCGGGTGGAGCTCTTTCCGACCTCAGAGCCATACCCAGGCCTTATGAAAGGACACCTGACTAAAGGCTCCAATGGCATTCGCGTGGCCAGCAACTTCCATCCTTTGGGTCTCTGCTTCAAACCTGGCCTGACCACCCAGCTGTGTGGATTCTCCACGCTCTTCAGTCCCCTGCTGGATTCCTTCCGCTACTGTGATGTGTCCTACATGGGTCTGTTGACCAGGTTTCCGTCCACCTTCAGCGCCCCCCACGGAGAACGGTAGCTCCATGAGGGCGGGAATTGTACCTTCAGTTCATGGGGCACAGATCCCTAGCACCTGTCACTAGCACTAAGCACTTAGCACTCAGTAGAAGCTCAGTAAATGTGCTGAGTGAATAAAACCAGGCAGGGAGGCACCAACCTTCACCCCGCCGAATGAGCTTTTTGAGTAATTTAATTTTCAGGAGAAAAGCTTTTTCACTCTTAAGAAAAAATTAATGAAACAGCCCTAAAACCAGCTTGCACTAATGTGTATTGTATGCTTTTTATTTAAGAAGAGAACACGAATATACCTGCATATATGCCTATCTTTTTAAAAAAGAAGACTGGGAGGATAAATCAAAAACTCATTTTTAAAATGGTTACTTTACACGAGGGCGGGAACGGGGCGAAAGGGATGGAAGGCCAGACTTCCCAGAATATGCTGGTTTTATAGTTTTGACTATGACTATGTTTTTACGTAATAATGAAGTTATATTAAAAAGGAAAAAGAAGAGCAATGTCTAGAGATGGAAAACAATGAATCTAAGAGTCTATGAGTTGTTGGCATACCCACACAGATAAGCAGTATCACAGACTCTGCAAGACAGTGACTACGTTCCTCAAGTGGAATCCCACCAGTGCACACTGGGACCCTCCCCCAGTTCCCGATTCAGCGGGTCTGGGGTGAACCTGATAATTTGTATTTCTAAGAATTTCACAGTGATGATGATTTCGCTAGTCTGGGACCACAAGTTGAGAACCACTGCTATAAACAGGTAAAACCATAAAAAAAAAAAAAAGAAAAACTTTGAAAGCTTCACTTGGTAGTCATGTTGTTAGTAATATTGCCACTGTGATTTAATTGTCACACAGTAGGATAAAGTAGGTAAGTCATTATGTTAATATCATCAGGAACCCAGGGTTCAGAGATTCAAATCTAAAATCAAAGAAGTAAAAACGCTATCTTAAATTTGAATTAGGAACAGCAGTATAATTCACTGAGGTGTTTTTTTCCCCCTTAAAAAAAGTATATATTTCCTTGTTCCCTACATCAAAAAGGCCCGGGAGCGGAAGCAACCCTATAGTAATGAGCACCCCTTACCCCCAAATCATCATTCCTAATTACCATTTCCCATAAAAGGAACCCAGGATCCTCCAAGAAAAACCTGTCTCCCGGGCTGGGTCGGGAAACGTTCAAGATGAGCTCGCAACATCTCATCACGGCAAAGAGCTAAGAAGCCCTCACACTGTCATCCAAAACACCGAGCCAATCTGAAGGAGCCCCCACGGACCAAAGACAGGAGACTCCGAGCATCAAATGATGCCTGCAATTGCTTAAAACACGTCAAGTGTATAACAAGCTCACGAACAAAAGATGTACAAGTCCATTCATCAGTCATGTCTCAAAGATGCTGGGCACCAACTCATTGTTCTCAAAGCTGGTTAATCAAGGGGGAGAATCAAGCATTTACCCTTTTTTGTTCAAGCTGTATTTCAGGGTGACCAAATAGTCATAAGTGAGGTTTTTATAGAATCCCAACTAATAAATGCAGAAGGAATGATAGAACTTTTTAAAAAATCACCTTTTGCAACATTCCTAACGCTCATCAATGGCTGCTCAAATCCAGAGGAGAAAGGTTGATGGGGACTTGATAATGGCTGGTGAGCCTGGCATGTGAACCCGCTGCCCAAACTCCACATGACCAGCAGCTGGAAAACCAAATATTCTGTGTCCAGAGGCGATGTAATAGGAAGTACAGAGCACCCCTCCCCAAAATTGAGCTCAAATCTCCTTTAAACCTCCAGATTTAACTGACCAGTTTATAGGACACATAGAGGCTGGAGAAATAGGTTAGATGAAACCAAAAATATGCCATAAACCCAAACAAGAATGTGAGAATTTCTCTATAGGACAAATGACCCATTTTCTTCAACTAAATACGTCATGAAGTGTGTGTGGGAGTGAAAGGCAGATAGATTAAAATAGGCTTAAGAAACCTATCAACTAAATCAATCAAGTGAGTCTTATTTGGAGCCTGATTGCAACTTTCCAACTGTAAGAAGGCATTTCTGAGGTAAGCGGGAAATGCAGACGTGGAGGCTGGTTATGAGAAGTCTTCATCCATTTAAATGGTCAGCTGGATCATGAAAAGCCCTTATCTGTCAGAGGTACATACGGAAATATTTTAGGGATGAATTAAATCATGTCTGAGATTTGCTTCAAAATACTTGAGTACGAGGGGTGGGGAGTCAGAAAAAGACTGGCAAAATAACGCTGACGAGCTACAGGGGAATTAACTATACTAATCTCTCTACTCTTGTGTATGTTTAAAATTGTATTTATAAAAAGTGAAATGAAACAAAATCAAACCAGGATTACAATAAAGACCAAAACCCGAGACTGCAAAACACCAAATCTATATTTACATCCACATATAATAACATAACTTTAAGCTGAAATATATCATAAATAAAACAAGTAAGGTCTCCTGTTTGACAACTTAAGTATCAACAATTAAAATAAATCAAACTGGAATGAAATAAATACATAAACAAAAGTCCAACGGATTGTACCTCTATTATATATGCACTGTTGTCTCAAAGAAAAAAAAAAAAATACAAAACCAGTAGTATCCAATAGTTAATACTGATGGACCAAAAAAAACATATATTGGAGTACAAGGGCTGTGGGGAAAACTGATATTTCTATGCATTCAGAAATGTGGTTAGAAAGGAGAAATCTGAAAGCCCAAAAAATTTCAGCATAACACAAATTGGCTTGTTTTCAAATAGATTTGGTGATTTTTTTTTTAAATACAGTTTTAAATTTCAGCCCTCTATTATCACATATCCCCTTTTAAGATTTACATTTATAGTCACAGCAAGCTTTCTGTAACACTCATTGGATTAGGCAAAGATCAAGTCAATCATCTTGCAAATGTGTTAATCTTCAAAAATAGGCTATAAAAGTGCAAAACTATGAAAACAAAAATCTAGATTATGTACATATGGCTCAGCTTGTGAACAGGAAAACAGGTAAATAGTGTATACTTTCCTGATACAAAGCACTTCATTGCAATGCCAGCAGACTGATCTCAAATTAGGTCTCCCTTCAACCCGGGAGTTAAGACTTCTTTCTCTATCAAGTATGCTTCATGTTGCATAATAAAAAAAACGCAAAGGAAAAAAAAAAAATTAGGATTCTTTTAGGACTTCACCCTTGCTCTAATGGAGAAGGGCAGGGCAAGAAAAATTAACAGTGCAAATTTATTGTTGAAACAGTTTTCTTAATAAAATATTTTGTGGTTGCTAAAGCCACATACTGCTGAATAAACTCAGCCATGGACAGCATATTAAGGGAACAAAAGTTTAAAACATCTAGTAAGCCAGCTGGTGGCTATCTTATCTTTAAAACCCAAATTGCATGTACACTGAGAAAAACTTTGCTCCTTCAAAACAACCAAAAATGGGAAGACAACTGAGGTCTAGAAACAGATTACCTCCTTCCCCGATTAGCAGAAGGCTCAGCCACGCAGTTCCTTATGCAGAATCAATCTGTCGGTAATTAACTTGAGTGTGTCCACAGTCGACCCAAACGCCAGACACACCGAGACTTCCAAATACAACCCTAAAATTTACCCAAAAACTTTCATTTCCTTTAAAATTGCTTCCAATATAGGTAATTCACATGTATAATTTAGTGTTTACATTTTTACATACTAATTTAGGCAAACACCCAAAGAACTGAATTTCCCAACAAAAATGATTAATTTGATAGAAAACTAATTTAAGTAACTCACATACAATTTGGTACGTTTACTGGCTGTTTGGCTGCTCGACAGAGGAAATGCTTCTCTGTAGACACACACACTTAAAAGCCACAAACCACCACAGTCCCTAAGAAAAGGATCAGGAACCTGGAGTCTGCCTCAGTTGACATGCTGAAGTTTGCAATAAAAGGGCACCAAATTCAGAATGGCTGACCTCAATATATGCAGCACATATTTATAGACGGTCAATACTTCCGTTAACAATTTTGTTAAGACAACAAACAGATTGCAGAGGATTTAACATAATACAAATCATTGAGTAATTTTTTTAAAAACATTTTAAATGAAAGAGCACAAATAGCAGAAACTGCTCAAAATGATGAGCTACATTAGAAAAAAAGAATACACACAGGATTTAAACAAGCAGGTTTACAACTTATGTATTTACAGACTTTACCTGAGGTGCAAGCATTATATACTTTCTCCCCACCCCACCCCCCAACCCCAATGATTTCTTTTCAGCAGCGCTCAAGTATGCAAAAAACTCCACTTCTTATTTGGTCAATTCTAAAAAAAATATTATTCAGGGACAAAATAGAGATTTCCAGTCTCTATTTGTGTACAACCCAACTGTTCCAACTCTAGTTTTTATTGCTATTTGGTACAAAAGTTAACAGAACAACTTTACAAAACTGTAGTGTTCTTCGTATGTCGTATGTACAGTACAATCACAGCTTATTTCAGTAGCTTTCACTATTTGCCTTCTCAAAGGATGACGTAATTTATTTCATGGAGGGTACACACTTATATCCATCGAGACCTAAGGAAAAAAAAAAGGTTTAAAGAGTGATTAAGATAAAACTGAATACAGTTGAGAAAAATGTTAAAAACAAGTACAATAAATAAATAAAACTAAAAGGATCTAGAAATGCAATGGGTTCCATTTAAGCTCAAATTGTGCAACGAAAGCATTGGGAGATTAAATAAATAGAAAATGCTAGGCTACTTAGGAGATGCTCCTATATACTTGGTGATTTAATGAAGATGATTTAACCAAGAATCATAATTTCTATGAGTTATATAAGTCTGGCAAAGGTAAACGCCACCTACAAGAAACTGAAAGTTTACACCTAATGAAAGGAAAATGTATGGAAACAAATATAACCTCCCTCCATGAGAAGGAGGGTACATAAAACATTTATAACATTATTTGTTGAGCCAACGTCTATCAGGTATCGCTGATATTCCTGGCACGGGGCTAGGTGTTAAGTGAAGGCATCTCCTCTCAAGCTCAGCTGGCAGTGGAAGACGGACACGCGGGCACGATGGGCAGAAGTGGGTGGAGAGGAACACCAATGGGGAAGCCGCTAGCTCCTGGCAAAGATTTTGCAGAAATGACATATGAGCTGGTCCCTCAAGTATCAGAGGGAGGCTGTTAGGGAAAGAGGGTGCAGGAAGGATGTTCGGGCAGAGGGAAATGCAAGCAGAGAAGCCCAGAGGCTGCAGAAAGAGGCCAGTGCTGGACAAACAGGATGGTCACCATTTGCTGTTACTTGTAAAGTGCAAGGAACCTGCTACTAATAATCTGTTCCTTATAACCCATAAATTATTTGTTTTTATGTCTTAATGGAGAGTGGATTTATTTATTTATTTATTTTTAAAGATTTTATTTATTTATTTTGCCCCCAAAGCCCCAGTAGATAGTTGTATGTCATAGCTGCACATCCTTCTAGTTGCTGTATGTGGGACGCGGCCTCAGCATGGCC